ACCAAGAGCAGCAGCAGCAGCAGCAGCAGCAGCCCCCGTTCCAGCAGCAGCAGCAACAGCAGCAGCAGCAACAGCAGCAGCAAAGCGAATACCCTTTAAGCGGGAGGTCTCTCCTGGGGGCCTTCCAGCCTCAAGGCGCCGCAAAGTTGCTGCTGCTGCTGCTGCTCCTGCTGCTGCTGCTGCTGCTGCTGCTGCAGCAACCAAAAGTGTATACCCATCGCTTGCTGCTGAAGCTGCAGCAGCGGGTGCTGCTGCTGCAGCAAGGAGAGCTGCTGCTGCTGCTGCTGCTGCTGCAGATGCTCCTGCTGCTGCTGCAGCAGGCACTACACCATACAGAGACCGCCCGAAACCGACAGCAGCTGCAGCTGCAGATGCCTCAGCAGCAGCAGCAGCAGCAGCAACAGCAGCACCTGCAGCAGCAGCAGCACCAGCAGCAGCAGCAGCACCTGCGGCTTCTGCTGCTGCTGAGCGACCAACGGCAGCTGCCGCTGCAGCAGCAGACGAAGGAAGAGGAGCTGCCAGTGAGGCCCTTGAACCAGCAGCAACAGCAGCAGCAGCAGAACCTACTGCTGCTGCGGCTGCTGCTGCTGCTGCTGCTGCGGGGACAGACAGCAGCAGCAAAAGTAGCAGATTCACTACTGGAGATTTACACCGGCAGAAAGAGCAGCAGCAGCAACAGGAGCTGCAGCAGCAACAGGAGCAGCAGCAGCAACAGCAGCAGCAACAGCAACAGCAGCAGCAGCAGCAGCATGACATCGTGGAGTTGCAGAGCCCCAGGCGCATGGCGATCGATGGGGACGAATCTGCTGCTGCTGCTGCTGGTGCAGCAGCAGCAGCAGCAGAAGCAGCAGCAGCAACAGCAGCAGCAGATGAAGACAGAATTGCTGCAGCAGCAGCAGAGGGAGCGACGAGGTCAAGGCCGGTTGCAGCATCAGCTGTTGCTGCTGCTCCGAGTGCAGCAGAAGCAGCAAGCGCAACAGCAGCAGCAGCCTTATCTGCTGCTGCTGCTGCTGCTGCTGCTGCTGCATCCCCTGAAGGAGGAGACACGAGGCCTCAAAGCCCCCATGGTGGTTTCCTATCTGCTGCTGCAGCTCCTGCTGCAGCATCTGTTGCTGCTGCTGCTGCTGCTGCGCTGCTTCCAGGTGTATGTACACCGGAGTACGTCCCCTCTACCGCAGCAGCAGCAACAGCAACAACAGCAGCAACAGCAGCAACAGCAGCAACTGCAGCAGGACTCGCTAGGCCCCCTCAAACACAGGGGGGGGCCCCGGACAGCGGGGGCCCCTGCAGCAGCAGCCCCTGGGGCCCCGCGACGCAGTGCAGCGCAGCATCATCAACAAGACAAACAGCAGCAGCAGCAGCAGCAGCAGCAGCAGCAGCAGCAGCAGCAGCAGCAGCAACATCAGCACCAGCAGCAGCAGGAGTACAAACAGCAGCAGCAGCACCAACAGCAGCAGCGGCAGCAGCAGCAGCAACAACAGCAGCAGCAACAGCAAGAGAGGGTGTCAGGCCGATGGCCTCTGCGCAGCAGCAAGGGCAGCAGACTCCTTCAGGGATAGCAGCAGCAACAGCAGCAGCAACAGCAGCAGCAGCAGCAACAGCAGCAGCACCAGCTGCTCCAGCTGCAGCAGCAACAGCAGCAGCTGCTGCTGCAGCTGCTCCTGCTGCTGCAGCTGCTCCCGCAGCTGCTGCTGCAGCCTCAAAGGAAGCCATCAATAAGGCGGAGGCGACCGTTCCCTGCAGCAGCAGCAGCAGCAGCAGCAGCAACAGCAACAGCAGCAGCAGCAGCAGCAGCAGCAATATTGTCAAGGGGAAGGAAGAGAGCAGCGAGGCAGCAGCAGCAGCAGATGAGCTGCCGCTGCTAGTGGGGCCCCCGGGGGCCCCCCTGGGTGATATGAAGCTGCATAGAGAGCTGTGCAGCAGCGGCTGCTGCTGCTGCACCCCTCTGTCTGCTGCTGCTGTTGCTGCTGCTGAGGATGCAGCAGCAGCAGCAACAACCAGGCTGCTGCGGTGCATGCGTCCCCAATTAGGCACATTCATTAGAAAGCAGCAGCAGCAGCAGCAGCAGCAGCAGCAGCAGCAG